GTGTGTGTGTGTGTGTGTGTGTGTGAGTGTGTGTGTGTGTGTGTGTGTGTGTGTGTGAGTGAGTGAGTGAGTGAGTGAGTGAGTGAGTGAGTGTGAGTGAGTGAGAGTGAGTGAGTGAGTGTGAGTGGTGTGTGTGTGTGTGTGTGTGTGTGTGTGTGTGTGTGTGTGTGTGTGTGTGTGTGTGTGTTGTGTGTGTGTGTGTGTGTGTGTGTGTGTGTGATTTGTCGTGGGTCTTTATTGTTGTGTGTTTGTATATGCTTGTTTTAAGTCTGTGTTTATGTCAGTACGTGTTGGTGCATATGTGTGTTTATATGTATGCGCTTGAATCTGTGTAGTATATGCCTGTGTCGATGTGTCTGTGTGTGTGTTTTAGTCTATAATGGCGTTTCTGTATATGTTTATATTTGTGTGCGTAAATGCTTATTCCTCTGTATATCTATATTTGAGTCTATGTCAGTGCGTCTATCATCACACACACACATTCTCCGTTTCAGTCTATAGTGGTGTTTCTCTCTCTCCCTCACACACACACACACTCACACGCTTTGTATGTGTGTGAGAGAGAGTGACGTGCGACACAGCTGCTGTACCGTACGGTGTGGTGGTCAGGCATAGGCCTAAGCACCTGGCCATGCTACCAGGCACTCATGTTCCCAGATCATGAACCTGCCTGATTAACCTTATAGCTTTATTTAGTGCTCAACTCTTCACCTTTTGCTTCTTCCATTTTGTTCACGATGTTTATTTTTCGTTGTGTTTTTATGACATGTTTAAGAGGCCTGGTTATTTTGTTCACGCTATGTATTTTTCGTCTTGGTTTATGAACTATTTAGAGGCCTGGTCTAAAAATCGTGGTTCTAGATTCCAAGCGAACCATTTTCTGCTTGTGACGGCATGATGTGTACTCAAAACGCCATTTAAGTGTAAAGTGTAAAGTGTAAAGTGTAAAGTTACGCACCAAGCTCTCCGTCAGAGCAGTGGGACACAATCACCATCACGCCAGCTTTTGCTACACTGAACTGATCGAAGAGCGGGGGTGTGGGTGGGGTGGGGGTAAGGATCGGATGTGTGTGGGGGTGGGGGGGGGAGGATCGGATGTGTGTGTGGGGGGGGGGGAAGGATCGGATGTGTGTGGGGGTGGGGGGGGGAGGCCGACGACGAAGCTCCATGATGCGCGCGGGCGTGGGCGGAGATGATAGCTATGCGGTTCTCGTGGTCTGTGGTGTGTTGATCGTCTGGCGCTCGCAGCTATGTGGCGGCGGTGATGCGGCAGAGAGCGGTATGTCGTTGGGAGCTCGCGTCGGTATGGGTATTCATGTTGGAAAATCTCATAGATGACGAGATGTGAGGATGCGGCTTAGAGTCCCATGTGACGATGCAGTTTAGAGTCCTATGTTGGCGTTGGCATGTGGCGCAGCGTAGGCGTGGTATGAATCTGGTCGGGTGATATATCGTTATGTTGTTGTCATGTTGCGCGTACAGAGACCGGAAAGTGCGCAGGTAAAGCTAAGTCAAGAGAAGATCTATTATCATCATCTCAAATGACGGCATTCGGATGAAAATGATAATTAGCAGCGACGTTGAATACACGCCCTGTCATGTGAAAACCGCATGTTCTTACTCAGATATGTTGTTAACGCGAACTTAGCACATATGGTTTCGCGAAAGTGTGATCCGAGTTCTTGGTGGGCAGGTAGTGTGGTATATTTGATATCTCCACGACGATATGGCAGAGGTATACTTGGCAGAGGCGTGGTGGTATACTTGTGGCAGGGTCGCGATGGTATACACTAACGACAGAGGTGGTATAACTGAGGGGGAGGCGGGGTGGTATAACTACGATAGGGACGCGGTGGTATACTAGGCTGTATGGTGGTATAACTGTGGGATAGGCTGGGTGGTATAACTATAGATAGAGACGCGATGGTATAACTGAGGGGGAGGCGGGGTGGTATAACTAAAGGGTCTGCGATGGTATAAACGTGGCCAAGGCGCGGTGGTATAACTGTGGTGGTGTTGACGGGGCAAGCACGGACACCAGAGCGTGAAGGATTATCCGCGATGTAAACCAGCACACGGTGTGATGGCAAACTCTCCCTCTGTCATGCGGGTGAGTCAGGTACCTCGCTTTTTTTTTTCTTTTTTTTTTTTTTTTTGAGGGAGGGAGGGAGGGAAAAGGTGGGAGGGAGGGTGGGGTTGAAGATGGATGATGAGGAGAGGGAGGAGAAGAGAGAGGGAAGGAGAGAAAGGGGAAGATAAGGAGTGAGATGGAGAGGGATAGGAAGAGAGTGAGAGAGAGAGAGGAGGGAGGGAAAGGGAGGGAGAAAGTAGGGAAGGGAGGAGAAAAGAGGAGAGAAGGTGAGAGGGAGGGAAGAAGTGAGAGAGGAAAGAAGAGAGAGAAGAAGGAGAGAAGAAGAGGAGAGAGAGAAGAAGGGAGGAAGAAGATGAAGGAGAGAGAGAGAAAGAGGGAGGAGCGAGAAAGCGGGAGGAAGACAAGAAAGAAAATAGGACTCGGTGAAAGAAAACGGGGCAGAATGGGGATGGTAAACACAAACACAACGAAACCAAAAGACAGAAGGAAAAAATCCGAGAAATGAGAAATAGATCGACAGACTGATAGATAAATAGAAACAAACAGGCAGCCACAGACACAGAAACATAACAAATACACAGTCAGGCAAACATTAGACATACACAGGGCGACAGGAAACAGAAAAGCTCCTAGACAGGTAGACATTGGGAAACGATTAAAAAGACGCCAAGCAGGTGTTAGGGAAGTGTTAGGAAACATTAAACAGACACCGTCGGGCAGGGAATTAGGTATCAGGTGGAGAGGCAGAGGAAGATCAGGTATAAGGGAGACTTGAGAGTTCCTGGGAATGGATGAATTAGATTCGCTGTGTAACTTTCACAGAAATAAAGGCGTGACCGTAAGAGAAAGAAAGAGAAAAATTAAAAGAAAAGTAAAAAGAAAGGCGTAAAAGAAAGAAAGAGAAAAATTAAAAGAAAGGCGTAACCGAAAAGTAAAAAGAAAGGCGTAAAAGAAAGTGAGAGAAAAATGAAAAGAAAGGCCGAAAAGTAAAAAAAGGCGAAAAGAAAGAAAGAGAAAAATTAAAAGAGAGGCGTAAAGAAAGAAAGGCGTAAAAGAAAGTGAGAGAAAAATGAAGAGAAAGGCGTAACCGAAAAGTAAAAAGAAAGGCGTAAAAGAAAGTGAGAGAAAATAAAGAAAGGCGTAACCGGACATGAGGAAGAGAGAGGACGCGGTAACCATGGAAACGACGGGATGGAGATGTGGGGGATGGCGAGGAAGAGGAAATAAGGGTGATTTGGAGTCGTATTTCCTGCGTAGCCATTTGGGGGAGATTTAGGGGATTGAGATGGAAGCGTAAATGGAGAAAGGCGGAGATGGTGACCGACTGAAATGGCTGATATAAGTCGACAAGAAAATGGAAATGCAGATTTTAGTATTCACACAGAAAATAATGATAATGAAAAAAAGAAAAAGAGAAGAAAGAAAGAAAGAAAATAAATATAAATCAAAGATGGAGATATATGGTAGACTGATGTAGACAAACGTATGAAGGGGGAAGTGCAGAAAAAGTTTATTAATAAAAGGAAGAAGAAAAACGTTAATGAAGTTCGATTTATCCGTTTCTGCATTTGGAATTTATTATTAGAGCTGATCTGTGAATGATGTGTCGGGAAGGCACGACTTAATACGATAGATAACCCGTGCATGAGTCGGAAGCCTCATATGTTTAATGTCTCATGTTCGCACGAAGGAAGCCACATATATTCATGCGATTTTGTGCTTGCATGATATGTATACACACATTTTTTTTTTTTCTTTTTTTTTTTTTTTTTGGGGGGGGGGTATTGATATTTCTTCTTCCGTATCTTTTTTCTTTTTCTTCCTTCATTAACTATTTTTGAGAATGATTCGTTGTTTTTGGGAGGGTCGTTTTCAAAATAGAATTATGATATGATTCGTGGGATGGCTGGCGTGTGAGTCACCTCTTCCTCCATTACTCTAGCCAAGGATATCACTCAGCCATGGTATCACTGCGAGTGAAGGCTGTGCTCACGTGTGTTTGGGTTCTGTGAGGGTTTCCGTCTGGTAACAGTGGTTTGGTTGTTTATTTGTGTGTTTGTCTATATGCTGTTATTGTTTTGATTTTTTTTCTGGGGGTGTTGGGATTGAAGGAGAAAGAGAAAGGGAGAGGAAACGTAGGATTGGGAAAGGTTTTTGAAGGAAAAGAAGGGAGAGAAAGGTCACGGGAAGGAAGTAGGGGAGAAAAAAGGATGACAGGGAAATGCAAAGAAGGAAAGGAGGATATTCCAATATCCTTAGTAGGAAAAGGGGATGTGAAGAAAGGGGATGATGATGATGGATTTGCATTACGAAAATAGTGGAAAAGAGAGAGAAGAGAATGCCTTTCGGACAGACGCAAGATGGCCATGCGCGGCGTCATTTCCAATACGTGTAATTTTAAGTTTATAGGAGACTGAAGGTGTAATTATAGCGCCTCCCACGACTGACCTCTCGCCATTTCTGGTCTTCGCTCTTTCTTCCTGGCCACGGGGAGTTTTGTTGTCGTGTGTGTCTACCTGTTGCCATGGCGACTTTAGGGTTCAAAGCGAACTCGTTTTTGTGGGATTGGGTCTAAAGTATCGATTGGGTCTAAAAGTATCTAAAACCGTGCTTGTGGAGAATCTCCCGAGTGCGTGTGCCTGGTTATGTTGTAGCAGCTGGGTGTTGCAATGTTACATTTATGACGGTTAAATTTGGTTAAATTTCTTTCTTGCAAAATCATCGCGATGTGGCATGATACTGGTGATAACGGGCGATGTGCAAGGCCGTTGCATTAGTCAGGCGCAACCCTGTGTTTGGATGACTATCCAGAAATAACTTGATGTAAATTTATGTACTTCACAGTAGATGCAGAAATGTCTTTCTTTGTTTTTGTTTAATATTGACCCAGGATTATTTGGTAGGAGATTGTTCTAATTTGATTTCACTGATGTGTACTAACGTTGCGTTTGTGTTGCAGGCCCCGGGCGAGAGCCGCATCCCGACGGTGCGGCGGTCAGGCCTCCCTCGTCCCTCCTCGGCCGTCTCCCGACTCCAGCTCAGTGGTGTTCAGTACAAGCCGGGCGACCCCGCGCCCATCGCCCAAACCCGCACCCACACCGTTGATCCCACCGCCCACATTTACGAAGGCGCCCCCCAGCACCACACGAGCCCCGCTCACCACGCCCCCGCAGGCCAGGCCGTTGTCCCTCGCCTCAGACTCTCCTCCGGGAAGGTCGTCCGCTACTCCGACGGGGACCTCCTCGAGGCCCACAGCCGAAGGGCCTCCCGCCCCTCCACCACCGGCAGCCGCCTCAGCTACCCTTACTCCAGCGCCGAGAGCTGGGTGGACGAGGACCGGGTATGGGCTAGGGAGCAGCGGCACAGAGGTCTGCGAGCCTCCACCGAGTCGGCCTTCTCGAGACAGCTGGCCAAGATCACTCGAGGCTCCGAGGAGGACGTCAGCGATCCGAGTCTCACCTACCGCGTCTCGAGCGTCCTCGGGGCTCGCACCTGCTGGGACGGGCCTCTGCTGCACGCCGCCGCCGAGCCGCACCCCAAGTACCCGAGCCCAGAGAGCGTGGGGCGGCGGGTGGTCGTGGCGGGGGCGGAGCATGGGACCCTGCGCTACTTCGGCCGGACCGCGTTCGCGAGTGGCGAGTGGTGCGGCATAGAGCTCGAGCGCCCCGTCGGCAAGAACGATGGCTCTGTGAACGGTGTAATATACTTCTCGTGTCGCCCGGACTACGGGATCTTCGCGCCCGCAAATAAAGTGTTCCTAACTCTCGACGACATCGGCGGCGACGATGCGAGATCTGTAAACGTAGCGAGCAGCGGTAAAGGTCAGGTTTGGCAAGGCTTAATGCCGTCCTCTACACAAACTCAGGAACCCAATGCTGTCCGGCGCCGGCCGTCAGACGCATCCAATGCCACCTACACCATCGAGGGGCGCGACTCCTCGGTTCCGAACTCACCCGAGAGTCAAGAATCTCTCCAGACTCGCGACTTCGCCCAAACGAAAGGCAGATCGGCCTGTCATGACGAACACGAAGACGACGTGGCGAGTCTCGGCTCGCCGGAGGACGCCACCTGCGACGAGTCCTCGCTGGGCATCCTCACTCCAGACCAAATGCCGGACTTCACAGTCACGGCCTCCGCCTCCCTCGGCAGATCTCCCTCCGACGAGGACGTGGCAGCACTAGAGGACGAGGTCTGCGACGCTTCTCTGCCGGCGGAGGCCTCCGGGCGGGAGGTGCCGCTGGTGCGCTGGGACTCGGAGCAGAGCATGAGCGGCGTCGTGGACGAGGAGCTCTTCAAGAAGGACGTGTCGGCCATCATCCGCGAGCTTCGGACGTCCGCCGAGGTCAGCTCCTCCAACAGCAGCTCCCCCACGCGACCTCATCCTTCGCCCGAGACCGAACAGTTCCAGCACGACGAGGAGGAAGCGGAGAAACAGCAGAAGAAGGAGGACGAGAAGGAAGAGGAGAAGAAGAAAGTCGAGCTGCAGCAGATTGAAGAGCACAAAGATCAAGAAGAGGCGATCCACGAGGAGGACCAGAGTGAGACCATTCACGAGCTTCGGGGAGTGCCCATTGGCGTCGACCTGTCGCGGCTTCCGGCCATGGCACGGCGAGTGGCACCGCTCACCACGCGGCTGCTCCTCGCTTCGTCGACCACGGGCGAGGCAGCGCCGGACGTCGAGGCGGCCTGGAGCGGCAGCGCGGCGGCCATGACCACCAGCGCGGGCAGCCTCGACCAGGGGTACCAGGGCGATGCCGAGTGCGACCCCCGCTCCGAGGGCGGCACTGGCACGGCCTCCTCCCCCACGGAGGACGTCCGGCTGTTCCAGGGCGTGATCGACGTGGAGAGGCTCACGGAGGGAGATGTCAGCCTGGCAGACGACGAGGCCGAGGCGGACCACGGCCAGGTGACGGCGAGAGACAGGACCGCCCGCATCATAGATGGGAAGCTGTACCATAACCACCGAGAGCTCGGGCGCCCGCACGACCCCCACGCCTCGGAGATGGACTCCTCCGGCTTCTACTCGGACCTGGACCCCCGAGACCGCGAGGCCGAGGACGAGAGCGCCAGAACAGACCTCGAGCCTGTACAAGAAGCTCTCGGCAACTCAAGCCTCCACGACTCTCTTCTGGACGACCATCTTCAGGACGACAACACCCACAATGACCATACCTTCGACGACCACTCCCTGAAGGACGACCTGACGTACAACAAAGACGCGAGCGTGGCAGTGGACGACGAGGACCGAAGCTCGGCCAGCACGCTGCGCCCCGAGAGCAAAGACCTGACGTCCATCGAGAACACGGACCGCTCGTACGCCCCCTCGCCCACCGAGCCCAAGCAGACCTCGCCCACGCCCGGCGAAGACGTCCAGCTGACCACGCTCGGCGGGACCAAGAGCGAGCCCGCGGTGATAATCGCGGAGACCAAGCTCACCGACTCGGGGATTTACGTGGAGGGCGCCGAGGACCCAACGAAGGAGCAGCAGCAGGCTCCTAAGGTCAGGACGTACGAGAAGCCGTGGCTGTCACGCCCGCCGCCGCCCAAGAAGAAGGAGGAGGTCCGCAAGACTCTCCCCCCGCCGCCTCCCATGCCGAAGAAGAACGTGCAGTCGAAGCTGAAGGCCATGCTGGAGGCGCAGGAGCCGGTGTCGGAGGAAACGCGCCGGCAGCGGCAGCCCCGCAAGAACCGCTGGGACGCAGTCATGAACAAGATCGCCGAAGGCCAGAAGGACGAGAGGGTGCGGCCCAAAGTCGAGGTGAAGAGCCGACTCCTCGAGGGGCTCAAGACGCAGGCACAACTCTCGCCTCAGGCAGAGAAAATCCGCCAGGAGCGAAGGGAGAGACGAGAGCGACGAGAGCGCCAGGCGGCGGCCGCGGCCGTGGCTGCCAGGCGCGTCAACCAGGCCAGGAGCGACAGGAAGAGGAGGTGAGTTCTCGAAAGATTTATTTTTAATGAGGTGGTGTACGCAGAAAATGCAAGGAGGAATGTCAGTCTTGGTATATTCCTAAACACCAATTCATCGGAGTGCAATGCAATGCTAGAGCAGCTTTATCACGACTGTTTTACATTAAACTTTTAGGAATAGCTGTAAGTTTATATCAGCAAGAGTGTCACAAACTTACGCAGGGCACTCTGATAACGAAGCGGGAATATCTATATCAGGCAATACATTTCCGTTAACTTTCAGCCTTCATTAGAGATAGGTGAACAAATTTTGATAGTGTGTACTAAAGAAAATATACGTACAATTCACAATACGAAAAGCAAAGAAATTAGTTGTATACATACTAAAAGACATTGTACAAAATAATAAAGTTAAGGAATTTAAGTGAATGAATCAGTGGTATTTGACCTAAGTAGGTGCCAGGAAATTTTATTGGAGCTTTACGAAGAAAAGGACTGGCAAGAAGCACGTCAATCGCATTATAGAAAGATAGGTAAAGATTTAAAAAAAGCGATTGTGCAGTATAGATTATTGAGCTCTATGGATTAACTTTTGATCGGGTACACGCATCCACAGATAGGTAGAGAGAAAGATAGACTAAGGAAGGAGATAGATCGATGAGAGACAGAGACAGAGACAGAGACAGAGACAGAGACAGAGACAGAGAGAGAAGAGAAGAGAGAGACAGAGAGAGAGAGAGAGAGCGAGTCAAATAATACAGTATAGTTGACAGTTCAAAGAAATATGTTTCAGATATATTTATTCAGCTGGTATTAATAAAATCAAAACTAATGAGCGATCAGGAAAATAGAAATAAGCAATTCATTTCTCAAAGGTTAAACTTTTAAGATAACCGTAATGATTAATATAAAATCCGCTAGATACATGTCAGGGATGCCAAGAACCATTAACGGTCGCATATGTGTGGAAAGACGTGCAGCATTCACAGACGGGGAAGGCTAGGTCAGTAGCAACTCGAGGAGGTGTCATGGTGTCTGATTCTATTCTTGGAAAAAGGCACATGGGGTTTATTTTGATGACGTCACAAAAGTAATGCTTTGCGAATATGGTCGATCATTTTGGTCTTTTCAAATTTCAAAAAGGATGGAAAATAATGATTTCAATGGTTATATTTTCGTTGAACGATCATCAAAATAGCCCCGTGGGATGCCGTGACACCCTGAGTTGCTACTGATCTAGCCTTCCCCCTAAGACGTATGTACAGTCACGAAAACATGTTTCGAATTCCGTTTCGAACACCTGCTTGTTGCCACACTTTTTGTAGAGGGTGAGACAGATTCGAAGCTTCAGTTCCAGAAGAGAAAGAAGAGAAGAGAAGGAAAGAAGAAGACTAGAGGAGAGAAAGAGAGGGAGAGAGAGGATTCGAGGAGAGAGAGAGGAGAGAAGGAGAGGAGAGAGAGGGCGAGGGAGAGAGAGAGGAGAGAGAGAAGAGAGAGAGACGTGAGAGAGACGCTTGAGAGAGAGAGACGAGAGTGAGTGAGTGAGAGTGAGTGAGTGAGTGAGTGAGTGAGAGAGAGATGAGTGAGATGAGAGAGCATGAGTGAGAGTGAGTGAGAGAGTGACGTGTAGTGGTGAGTGATTGAGTGAGTGAGATGAGTGTGTGTGATGTGAGTGATGAGTGAGTGAGTGAGAGAGATGAAAGTGGAGAGAGTGAGTGAGTTGAGAGTGAAGACGAGTGAGCAGTTGATGAGAGTGATGTTGAGAGAGAGTGAGAGAGAGAGTGAGCTGGACAGTGTCTCACCTTAATGAGGAGAGTTGATGCGACTGTAGAGTGAGCTTGTCTCCCTTAAATACACGGAAAAGTGTATTTGAGGGAGGGCTGTAATTTAGTTTGCTAAGGGAGACTAAAAATTTAATTATACATAGAATTTATGTAATAATGTTATATTTTAAAGCATATTTATGCTTTTTTAGAAATATATTTATTGATATTTATTCTTTATCTATGTGAGACCATTTATTGTTAGATCTTTAAACGTTTTAGATATTTAATTATTCTAATCCTACAAGGTATTCGCCGCTAATAATCTTTGCTGTTGACACGACTGATAAGTTTAAATTATCAGTCAATTCGTTAAAGATGCGCAACAGGATTCCGTTATTCCCTTTTGCTAAAGGTCGAAAATCCTTTAAACTGTTGTAGGCATACTGGTCTTATGACGTGTCGGGGGTATTACGCATGTTTTGTTTATGATCTCTCTCTGCTCTCTTCTTTGGTTTCTTCTCTGTCTTTTTTTGTTGGTCTCTGTTTTTCTTCCTTTTCGTCTTTCTTTTCCTCTTCGTTTTCTTCTACGTTGTGTGTTTGATGGTTTGTCTGTATGTATGTTTGTTTATTTTGTATTTATTCTTTTCTTCTTTTCTCTCTCTCTCTCTCTCTCTCTCTCTCTCTCTCTCTCTCTCTCTCTCTCTCTCTCTCTCTCTCTCTCTCTCTTCTCTCTCTCTCTCTCTCCTCTCTCCCTCTCCCTCTCCCTCTCCCCTCCTCTCCCTCTCCCTCTCCCTCTCTCTCTCTCTCTCTCTTTTGCCTCTCCTCCTTTCTTTCTGTTTCGTTTTCTTTCTCTCTTGGTATAAGTTTGATATCTATCGTTTTTATAATTCGATTTCTTCTCTTGACGATTCCTTATTCTTATTACTATTTCGAGATTAAAATTGTCAATAGTGACGATGATAACGATAATAATAAAGTAACAATGATGATAATGATTATAGTAATAAAACAATTATGATAAAATGATAATGATAATGATAAAATTATAGTAGTAATAATAATTTAGGATGATAATGATGATGATAATTAATAACATACAGTAATAATAATGATAACTGATAATATTATTATTACTATAATGATTTAGAAACGATAGTAGTGATAGAAATCATTATATTGATAATAGTGATAACGATGATAAAGATAAAAATGATAATGATGATATGATAGTTGTAATTACATAGTTGTAATATTGATGATAATGAATACTGGTAATTATAAAAGCAGGTAATGATAATAACGATAACAATAGCAGTAAGAATAATGAAGATATTAATACAAATTGAAATGGTAATAATAATATTCATAATATTAATTAATTAATCATTTTCATACTACCTCCTCCATACGTTTTACTTCTCCAATACTTTCCTCTAATAATTCCGAGATCTCAAGTTATCATTCTACAAGAGATGCAAAAACTGAATCATTTGACTCCTTTTGATGTTAAATGCGTGTGCGTGTGGTTTTAGATAATGATATATTTTCAAGGTCTGAAATGCGAAATGCCAAGCGGTCTGGCACGACGCAGACATTCACCTGCACTCAGTAGTTCATCTTGGTTTTATTTTGTTATAAGAAAAGTCGTATAAATGTGATGGCGGACCTTAGATTTGGCTTAATGTAAGTAGAGGTCAAAGCGCCTGTCATGGCCACTCACTCAGTTCGTAATAACAGTCTCAGAACATGACATGAGGGAATTCTTTGTGCAGAAATTATTCGGCAACGTCGCATCACGATCGTCATTTTGTTCACATTTTTTTTCCAAAGGGTATTAAATCCTTTTTTGTTTGGATATTTCAAGATTTGCCAAATCTGGGGTTTACGAGTCGTGAATACAGGCCGTAAATTTCCGGTCAGTCGGCGAGAGCAGTTTGACCTTTGCCGAGGCGGATCCGGTTGAGTGAAGGTCAGGTGGAAGGTCAATAACCCTTGATCATTATATCGATCGGCTCCGTGACCTGGCCACGCGCGCCCGCCTGTCGCAGGCTACTTTGGGGCCGCTTGTGCGTGCGAGATGGATCGTGTGTGTGTGTGTGGATGTGTATTGTATATATATTATATATATTATATTATATATATATATATATATATATATAATATATATATATATATATATATATATATATTATATATATATATTATATATATATATACATATATGTTTCATATTTGTGTGTGTGTGTGAGTCTCTCTCTCTCTCTCTCTCTCTCTCTCTCTCTCTCTCTCTCTCTCTCTCTCTCTCTCTCTCTCTCTCTCTCTCTCTCTCTCTCTCTCTCTCTCTCTCTCTCTCTCTCTCTCTCACGAGTCATTCACTCTCGAAATCGCTCTCTTTTTTTCTCTCTCATCTATTCCCCTCTCCTCTCTTCCCCTTTTTTCTCTGCTCTTCTCTTCTCTTCTTCTTTTTCACCTCTCACTTCCTTTCTCGTTTCTCTCCCTTTCTTATCTGTCTTCCCTCTCTCGCGCTCTCACACCAGTATCTTTGGAATTTTTTCGATTTTTCGATTCTGCTTTGCGTCGGATAAATCTAAGACAAAAATACAATAGGCTTTATTTTGACAGGACCACTTTTTACTAGGCAATTTAGGGTGGTAGGCAGATAAAGAGAATTTTCTTAAAATATCATACTTTATGCTGCAAATATATCCGTTTTCTTTGAGCTCCAACGTTACTCA